AGGAACGGGTGCTCGACTTGAAGGAGATCTGCTTGCGGGCCAAAGCCGTCCCAACGCCTCCTGCGTTCCCGCTGAATGTCGGCAGCAAGCGAATCCCAAACCCTCCATTTGCGTCAAAGGTAGGCGACTTATTTAGTATGGGTGCGATATGGGAGAGGAGCGCCGAGAGCCTTCCCCAAGCATAGCATGCGCGAACAGTACCTATGTGGCGCTGCTGACATCAGAGCCTAAAGAACTGAAGCAGAGCGGGTGGGGATCATGTGAGTTGTACATGGATGATTCGAGCACGCACGTAATTATTTTTTCGGCCCCGTTGCCTACCCAACGCCACTGCCATTCCTTCACATCGGGCCTCACTGCCCATCCGTCTCTGCCCCTCTCCCTTGTAGTCTCCGCCATCCTTTCCCTTATGCGTTTCCATACTTTTCCGCCCTCCCTCCATCCCCCCTCTTTCCCTTCTCCCTCCTATCCTTTCCTGTTCCCAATTATCTTCCCTTGACTCCCTCGATCCCCCCTTTTCCTCCCTTCTGCTTTCTCCCCTTTCCCATCACCTCTCACGCTCCCCATCCCCTTTCTCCCTTCAACCCAGTTCCGCAGTCCCCACAGGCCCTCAACAACTCCGGCAGCCCTCGGAAGCCTCTGGGCCAGAACCCCTCCAAGACATTCAGCGGAGCCCCCCTCGCCCCCCCGCCCCCCCGGAAAAAAAACTGCAACAGCACGTTAAAACCTGCCTCCTCTAACGCGAACTGATGCTGGGAGGACTGCTTGGCAAGACGTTTGCAACGGCATGCACCCCCAGCAGAGGGATAGGTATCTGAGTTTGCTTTCCTCACCTGGGTCCTTTTCGATTGATTGCATGCAGCCTTAGAGGCTTCACTCGAAGAACAAACAATGACAAAATATCTGGCAACTCGGAGGTCCGTGCGGATTTCTCGGATCGGTGCTGGACTCCCCTCTCTGGCGCGCGGAGCGCGCCAGAGGCGGCGCCGGAGGCGCCGCCAGGGGGGCCCAGCGCCGATCCGAGGAATCCGCGCGGACTTCCGAGTTTTTATGTTTATGCAATTGCTCGCTCCCTCCTGATTCATGCAGCCGTAGAGGTTAAACTCAGAGGAGCAAGAGACCATGATAATGGCACGTTCCACGGTTCCCAGGGCTTCCACGGTTCACGAATGTTCCACACGAGCTGCAGAAACGAGGGGCCCTCTACGCAGATACTCTGGAGATCTATACGCATCCTGAGCCAGCTCCGTCATGACATCCGTCTCGTCCTGTGCGCAACTGCGCAGCCCCCCTCCTGCGCTCTCCGAGGGCCTTGCGGCTCCCACCACGGGCCCCCTGCCATTAGGGGGCCTTCGCACGGCCGGCCCCGCACCGCCCCGAGGGTGCCGGCGGCCGAGCGGGAGCGACAGAGGCCGGGGTCGTGCCACGTGCCGGTCCGCATGTCCCCCATCACCTCGAAGGGTAGCAGGAACGAAGGAGCGCGTAAGAAACGGTGCGGAGAGTCTGCACCTTTTCCCCCCTCCCGTGTTCTCGATATCCTTGCTGCCGCGGGTGCCCACTCACCCACCTGCACGCGTGTGTGCGCCCTCTGTTAGGGCTGGAGCGCCGGCCTAAACCAGTGATCAACACCCGAGGCTAAACGCCGGCAGAACAACAGATTCTGAAGCGCAATGCTAATTTATGGACCCTGGCTTAATGGTCTCTCCTTCTTCTCTCCCCTTTTCCCCCTGGTTCCAGGTCCGCCGTACTTTCTGGGCGACTTCGCACGTAGGGCGGAAATATCCGCCCTGCTGTTCAGGCTCCTCTGATGTCTATGTCCGCCCTTCTTTGCCGTCGCTGTTTCCGCCGTGCCTTTGCGGGAGACTCCACCCTACTTTCTGAGGCGATGATCTCCGTTCTTCTACTTGTTGCTTCGTTTGGGGCGCACGTCTGACACAATTTCCAGCCGGAGATTCCAACAGCAGTGCGGCGGATCCTGAGGCAGGGTCGATTCTTGGAACGCCCAGAGATCCCCCAGAACAGCCCGCACGAGGCCCAGAGGGCCCGGGGGGCCCCAGAATGGCTCGGAAAGCCGAAGGCACCCCGGACAGCATTCTGTTCCGGGCGGTAGCGGGCGTTACTGGAAGGGGGGGGGAAAGGCCAGCGTTGACGGGGCCGGTAATGTCATGTTTCGCGCCAGCGTGCGCCTCTCTGAGCGTCTAGGAATAACCAAGAACAGCTCGGAGGTCAGCGCGAATCGTGACGTTACCGGGGACCGGCGGGGGGCGGCCGGGGCCGGTAACGGCCGCTATCGAGAAACATAAAAAAGCTCTATTGAGTCAGGGGCGCCTCTGGCAACGCTCTCCCCCTCCCCTGCCACAAGTTTCTTGAGGAGCGCGGGGTCCCCGCAGAGGCCGGGAGAGTGGATCCCGGGACTAGGGGCGCCCATGGGGCAGAAGGTCCACAACTGTCGGGAACGTGGTGCCGCAAATCGGTGGCGAAATTCGAGCCCAACCCCAGATGAGGAGAAGGTACCCATACCGCTGCCCTTGCCTCGTTTTCCTGTTTTGGGGCCTCCTGGGAGGCCCTCGTCGCCACCGCTGGATTCGCTTCGGAATTCTGGTCAAAGCGCACCCCAGGAGAGGTCTGGGGAACAGAGGTATCGGTACCTTTTGGTTTCCCCCAAATTTGTCGCGAAGTCCGAGCCGGATCCTTGCTGAGCAACGATTCAGGCAACTCGATGGGCGGTGGGGGCAGGCGAAATCTAAATCCTACCCCCGCCTCCCATCCATTTGGGAGAGTCGGTGGTTGGTGGGGGCAGGGTTCGGATGTCGCCACCTGGCAAAGGTCGGATGTTGCCAGAAGTGGGCCTGGCCCAAGGCGCTCCCAGCCTCCTGCGTCACCTTTGGGCCTCTGGGACACCCCCTGAGCTGTCGTGAGGGGCGCCTTCCAAGCCATCCGCGCCTCCCTGCATGGGGAAGCTGCGATCACCTTCCCAGACATCTGACGTCCCGATGTTTTCCATGTCAGGTCCCTGGAAGCCCCAACCCCTCCCCCAGGGCCGGTTCATCATCCCGAGCCGTTCTTCTCACGGTCCCAGGGCCTGGCCTGGCGAGGGCCCCTGGAGGCCGAAAACTTCCGCAAGCCTTCGTCGTGCTTTTCTCGAGACGTCGGGTGCCCGGGTTGGGCCAGGACCACTGCTGGCATCGCCCGGCCGGGGGACCGGCGCCTGGTGCGCTCGCTGGCCGCTCGCCAGGCGGCGGGGCCGAGGTCGCGGAGCGGCGGCGCTGCGGGCCATCGGCGTGGCCGAGGGCCTGCGGCCGAGGCAGGAGAGCGCACGCCAGCCCAGGCGCGGGAGTCCCAGTGGCCTAAGGTGCCCTCAGGATTTCCAAGGATGCCCCCACGGCCAGAAGAGCACCCCACGCCTGGCCCGGAGGTCCCAGGGACTCCACAATTGAGCGAAAAGCTGGGGGCACCTTGGGCCAGGGGTACCTTTAGCAACCTCCGATGAAGTAGCGGCGCGCACAAGGGGGTGGCGCGAGGGGGGCGACCTTCCAACAAGGCGGGGCGCTTCGTAGAAGGCAGGGGCCTTCTTAAGAAGTGCCTGGGAGCTTCTAAGGAGGCTTCTGAGAGTCTGGGATAGTTGCTAAGACAGCCCCTGCCTTCTTAGAAGGCCCCCCTCGCGCTACCCCCGTGCGCGCGCCGCCAAGTAAACAAAAATACGACGGGAGGCGTTTGAGAGTGTTCGGCCTCCGGGGGGGCCCTCGCCGGGCCGCGGCACCGTCAAAACACGACTCTGGACGAAACACCTCCCCTGGGGAAAGGGTCAGGACGTCTGGTGACCGCGTATCTGGAAGTTATCAAGACATCGCATGTCGGGGACAAGGTCCATTTTGGGGCTCAGGAGGGGCTCCGGTTTTCGGCCGCTCCTCAGATCTAGGCCGAGGGACCTGTTCGTTGCCAAGGCTCTCCATGGACAGGAAAGCCCCTTCGTTCCTTAACTACTCAGCGTTCCGCAAGGATCCTCCCCTGCGATCCGACGTCTCGACGAAAATGAAACGTCGCGGAAAATCACGACTGGAGCCCTGGACCCAATCTTCCTGCGCTATCTGTCGAGCCGGATCGATATGTGAGGGTGTTGGGGCCCCCGCATCTGGGCGAGACCGCCCGGCTCGAAAAAATCGAGGCGCCAGGTTCTCAGGGTCCCCCGTTCTCCATTTCGGGCGACGAAATCTGTACACAACCGCTGCTCCCTGGTAAGGCCCATTCTGGGCCCAAGAGCTGTGTATACGCCCTCCTGGCCGAGCCAGGAAGGCGTGGCGTATACACCACTGCTGGGTTCAGGATGGGACTGGCCAGGGAGCAGTGCCTAGGGAGCAGTGGACATGTTCGGCCATGCGGGGAGGGGGGTTATGGGGGAGGGGGAAGGCTCCTTAGAAGCACCCTGCTTCTTAGAAGAAGGCGCGGGCCTTGCCTGTAGATGTAAAGCCGGCGCCTTCTAAGAAGCAGCCTCCTTCTAAGAATCCTTCCCCCGTCCCCGTACCCCCCCTTGCGCGCCGCCAGCATATATATATATATATATATATATGTATATATATATAGACATGCATGCATGCATGCATGCATACATACATACATACATACATGCATGCATACATACATACATACATACATACATGCATGCATGCATGCATACATACATAAATACATACATACATACATACATACATACATACATACATACATACATGCATGCATACATACACACATACACACATACATACATACATACATACATGCATGCATACATACATACATACATACATACATTCATTCATACATACATACATACATACATACATACATAAATACATCCGTCCATCCATCCATGCATTCATACATACATACGTACATACATACATACATACATGCATGTACATTATACATATAGATGTCGCCGCCCTTGCCTTCTCTCCCCAGCAGCAGCCGGCAGGCAGAGGGGCGGCCCGTCGCCTGGGGAGGTGGCAGGGGAGCACCCTGGGTTCCAGAGCGCCGGGGCGCTGGAGTCCGAGTCCTCGGACGAGGAGGACGTCGACAACACGTAAGAGTGACCCTCCGCAGGAGCGACCTTTGGTGTGGGCCCATTAGGGTCCCGCGATAGCCGAACGCGATGCGGAAGTAGCTTCTTGCGCGCTTGTGTTTGGTCCTCCCGTGGCCCCCCCAAAGCCGCGCACCAAAGGTCACTCTTACGCAGGGTCGTTCTTGCGTGTAGCCGAGGACGCGGCAAGTGCACGCGGGGCGCGGCACGGCGCGGTGCGCGAGGAGAAGGTATACGGTCGGACCGAGGTATAACATCGAGGTCGATTCGGAGAGGGTATCCTACTCTTCTTCGTGTTTGCTGGATGTTACTGTGCATCCCGTGGAAGGGTACCCTCGAATGATCTATGGTTTGGGGTGGTATGGCCAGCGGAGGGTCTCATGTTCTTGAAGCATGTTCTTCTGTGCTAGGTCCGACCGTAGGATGGTTGTGAGGGAGGATGGAGGGAGATCTAAACGCGGCCTTCGAAGTTTAGGGGCTGTCGTGGGGTGTCCAGGGCGGGGATCCCAGGGGCTTCGAGAGGTTTGGGGAGGAGGGCGGTGGGGGATGAGGGAGAATACTGAGTTGTGGGAGGAGGTGCTCCTACATATTATTCGGGTTTCCCTCACGGTTCTGGAAGGCTGTAGTTGGTGGAAAGAGGTGGACGAGGATGAGGAAGAAGGGGATCCTCATGATGGGGAGGATGATGGGGAGGATGAGGAGTACACGTTCTGAAGAAGTGGCTTTCTTGCAACCGCGCAGTAAAACGCCAACGTATGGATCGAAGCATGCTTCTGCTGGTTCCCCACACCCGTCTGCACTCACATGTGCACTTTGTCTGCACACATGACACCCAGTAGGTTTTAATCCGAGCTAATGATTCATGCAACGCGGCTTCGCTTTTCTATGTTCCAGCTTGCTTAGTCATGCGACGCCGCCCTTCTTGGTCTCCTATGCTCCATCTTCATTTCTGGAAATTCTTGACGCTTCGCGTATTCCCACCAGTTCCCCCTGGATCGCGGGGGTGACCGGTCTCAGTGCAGCTCCTCCCTGGATTCCCCTGCCTCGCTGGCGATGTTCATTCCCGCCAGCCTGGCCTGTCACATGCAGTGCATCAGTCTCCGCGCTCTGAGCAGCTGGTGGCTGGGGTCTGGCCCTTAGGGTACATTACAGGGCCTTCCCACGTGCACGGGATGGTGGGCCTTGGAGCCCTGTGGACGCTTCGGAGTGGTTCAGCCTTCCGTCAGTCGCGGCGCTTCCCCTGGATCCATCTCACCATCAGGCAGGTTTGCGACGTCACTTCGGCAGCTTAGCCCCATCAGCTTGCATACGCCGCTGGGACGGCCCTGGACCTGGCGCCCCGCTGGTGACTCGTTCATCGTTCACCTCGCCTGCGCGCCTATCAGGCACGTGGGACGCGTAGGCATCTGCGCACACGTCCTCGCGCTGTCTGAGTGGGGTATGCCTCACGGCATACACCGAATTTCCTGGCATTTTGCTAGGCTGCACGTTGCCCGAGCTTCCCTGGGTGCCCTCTGCCTGTCAGCTTTCCCGCGCAGCCCTGCAGCTGGTTGGTGAGTGGGCCGGCCGGCCTGCGGCGCTCCCAATAGCTAATTAGGCCGTTACCGTGTCCCGGAACGCTTCTGACTCCGCCTGCGCCTTCGCTCGCGGACGCGACCAAAAAAGTATCCCCACCACTTCGTAGCCCGCCCGACCTTTTCGGACGCCTCCTGCGTTTTCGCTTGCGGCCGCGACAAAAAAGTATCCCCACCAGTTCGCTCCTGCTGCTCAGGGCCTAATTCAGCCCGCTGCTAGATAGTTGCGCGTGTTCGGACGGCGCGCGGTTGGACCGCGACGCTCGCGAACAAAAACATCCCCACCAGTTCTTAGGGCCTAGTTCAGCCCGCTGCTCGTTAGCTGCGCGTTGACTTAACGCCGTGCGATGTGTCGCGACGGTCGCGATCGAACAAACAAGTATCTCCACCAGCCCATCCAGAAACGACGCCCATGAGAGCTGACGGGGGGAGAGGCCTCGGAAGGCCATCGAACACAAAAAGGCGAGAAGGCCTTCTTGGCGGCCTCTTGGGGAGGCTCCGCGGCCATCTCGAGCCGTCTTGGGGCGTCTTGGGGCCTCTTGGGGCATATTGGGAGCCATCTTGATCCAGCTTGGGCTATCTTGATCCATCTTGGAGGTCATCTTGGGCTCTCTGAGGCCGCTCGGGGGCCTCTTGGGTGCCTCTCGGGGGCCTCTCGGGTGCCTCTTGGAGGCCGCTTGGGGCGCTCTTGGAGCTCTCTTGGGGGCCTCCTGGGAGCCCTGGAGGGTCTCTTGGTGCCATCTTGAAGGCGGTCGGTCAAAACAGGAGGGGTCCTCGATGTCTGCCCGCCCCTCGGGGGCCACGATCCTCGTGAGGGGTGTCAAATATTTGCCCTCCCACTGGCCGAAAAACGGACCCTCTGACACAGCGGTCCCCCCTCCCCAAAAACACCAGGGAGGGGAGGGGGAGGGTTCCCCTCCCCGAAGGGGAGAGGGGCTGTGAAAGAAAGAAGAGATCACCCTCAGACCACCCGTCGCCCAAAGGGCTGGTGGGATTACAGCATATGCGGTTGATGTGTAACATACGCGGGAGCTGCTTGTCTACCTTGTAGTCTGGCAAGAAGACAATCGTACCGTCGTCCGCCAGTCATTCATGGTTGGCAATATGGCGGATGTTTTTTATAAACGCGATGGCCGAGATCTGAATGCAGCGGGCGAGAAAGATAACGAGGAGGGCCGGAGAAAGAGGGTGGAAGGTAGAGGAAGCGATAGGGACGGAAGGACGGGGAAGGGAAGGACGGAAGGATCAATAATTGACGAGGTCGTCGTGCGTGAGCAAAGCAGCTAATGCATACGATTATGCTTCCAGCACGCGCTGACGTGTTTGCGCGTCCGTGAACTGGTTAGATTCCGTCAATTGCACATCCCACTTCGAACGTATATGCATCTTGTCTACATGTGCGTGCGACGCGAATGCAGCTTCACGAGCGAACGTGACCAAAAAAGAAATGTAATGGGAAGGCTTGCATGCGTAACTGCACAACTTGATTCTTCTGCTTTCCCCGTGACACAGAAGTGTGTATTGTGTATGATGCTTGTCGTTCGCCAGACTGCAGCAAGAGCCCTCTTGGATGCAGATGATCGTGGCTCGCTCAGTTGTGCAGTGCTTCCTGGGGAATGCAGCAAGCAGGAAGACATCGAGCGCAGCGTATCGGTGGGCACTATTCGGAGTGATTCTGGTGAATGCGACGCTGACGATGGCGTTAGATACGAGGACTTCTCCCGCCGAAAGTTCGACGGGCAGGAGGGGAGGGAGGGACGTGTTGGGTCTCTATGCGAACAATTGTGCTGATTGGCGTTGTACGATTGGAAGTGCTCGTTTGTTTGGATTTGTTCCTGGTGCACGCGTTGCTCTGTGACGCTTTGAGCGTATGGCCGAGGGCATCGCTAGTGTCCAGCTGCCTGCGGCAAGCCCCGCCACCGTGCCTGTGAAGCAGCGCAGCAGGAAGGAGGATGAGTGTAGGAGCAGCACAATTCCCACGACTTGTCTGAACTGGGACGGGCCGTAATCTCGATATCGTCTTGGTCCGCGCGGTAGGAATGAGGTCGAGTTCCCCCCCCGCCGCAATTCAGCGAGCGGTCTGACTTGAGACGGGTCGCGAATTCGACCTCATCTTCGTCCGCGCGGTTGGGGGGATGAGGAGGACAAGGAGGAGGAGGCGAGGGAGAAGATGAAGACGAGGAGGACAAGGCCTCTTAGAGGCTCTTTCGGGTCTTCAGGGGTGCCTCCTGGGGGCCCCCAAGACACCCAACAGGGCCCTGAGAGGGCCCCCCCCCCGGACGGCCTAATGACAGACGCAGCTTTGACGCCAAGGCTACCAAGAGCACCAGGTGACTAGAAAGTCCTGTTTGAGCGCCAAGGGTCCCAAGAGCGAACGGTGACGTCAACAGCCCTTAAAGCCAAGACTCGCAAGAGCGAACGGTGACGTGAGCAGCTCTTAATTTCAAGGCTCCCAAAAGTGAACGGTGACGTAAACAAATCTTCACACCAAGGCTTCCAAGAGCGAACGGTGACGGAACAACATCTTGACGCCCAGGCTCCCAAGAGCGAACGGTGCCATGAGCTTTCTCGGGCCAGTTTCCGAAGCGCTCTTTCCGTTCCTTTGCCAGCCCAGTTGACGGAAAGGTCGATGACATTTTGGGTGGGGCGGAGCCCTCTTCGGAGGGGCTCCAGAGGAGGGGCGAAGCCCGGCCAGGCAGGCATAACGGCCACCCCCCCAAGCTTGCCTGAGAGGCCCCAAAAGCGGCAAAGAGGCCCCCAAGACAGCCAACGAGAGGTCCAAGAGGGTTCCGAGGCGGCCGAAGAGCGCTGCACGAGAGCCGCAGGCCACCCAAGAGCGTTTCAACATTTCCTCAGATGTCTTCAATATTGTCCAAGAGGGCGCCAAGACGGCCCCAGAGGACCCCCCCAGAGGGGTCAGGAGGCCAAACGCACCAATGCTTCCAAATTGTTTGCAGGCTTCGGGGGTTACCCATTTTTTGAGCTTCCGACGGCCCGAGGCGCCAAAGAGGGCCCCAAGACGGCCCAAGAGGCCCCCAAGAGAACCCCAAGACAGCCCAAGAGAGCCCCAAGACGGCCCAAGATTTCTCCAAGACCGCCCAAGAGGGCCTCAAGAGGACCCCAAGAGAGCCCCAAGAGGGCCCCAGGAGGCCCACAAGAGAGCCACGAGAGGCCCACAAGAGGGACCCCAGATTGCCAAGGCTCCCAAAGACGGCCCAGAACGGAACCAAAACAGTCCAAAAGGGCCCTGAGAAGACCCCCAAGAAGGCCCGGAGAGGCCGAATACCCAGTGACGGACACAGCTTTGACGCCAAGACTCCCAAGAGCTCCAGGTGGTGGAAAACACATGTCTCTGCGAGTCAGCGGCGTAAGAAGCTTTGAACAACAAGGCTCCCAAGCTCGATGACGTGCACAACCCTGAACGTCAAGACGCCCAGTGCGAACGAAGACGTATAAGAGCGCCGACCGCCGAGGCTCCCTGTACGAAGTGTAGTGTGAACCCTCATAGGCCATTTGCTGAAGCGCTCTTTCCGTTCCCGTGCTGGCCCAGCTGACGGGAAGAAGGAGGTACGAGTGATGACAGTTTGGTGGGGCGGAGCCCTCTAGGAAGGGGTTCCAGAGAAGGGGCGAAATTTGACCTGGCCGGCATAACACGCCCCCCCCCTTCCCAAGACGGCCCGAGAGGCCCCCCAAAACCACCAAATGGTCCCTAAGACAGCCCAAGACAGGTCCAAGAAGGCTCCAAGGCGGCCCAAGAGCGCTGCAAGAGAGCCCCTGACCAAGAGCGTTCGAAGATGGCCTCAGATGTCCTCATAATTATCCAAGAGGGCCCCACGACGGCCCCAGAGGCCCTCCAGAGGACCTCCCAGGGGGTCTCAGGAGGCAGCAATTATTGATTGCAATGCGGATTTTATAGGTTTGGGGGGTTCTCCCTTTTTCGAGCTTCCGACGGCCAAGACGGCCCAACAGGCCCGACATATCGCCCCAAAACGGCCCACGAGGGCCCCAAGACGGCCCAAGAGAGCCCCAGGACAGCCCAAGAGGGCTCCAAGACGGCCCACGAGGGCCCCAAGAGGCCCCCAACATAGCCCCAAGACGGCCTCATGAGGCCCCCAAGAGAGCCCCAGGAGGGCCCCAAGGCGGCCCAAGCCCTTCCAGACGGCGCAAGCCCTTCAAGACGGCCCAAGAGGCCCCCGGGATGGCTCAAGAGCCTCCCAAGAGGACCCTCCAGACGGCCTGATGAGGCAACACACATTGATGTCCCTTAAGTTTGTCATTGGGTTGTAGGTTCTCGCTTCTTCTGGCCCAGATCGGCCGAAGACGGCTCTGAGGGCCTCAGAGATTGCCCCCAGACGGCCCAGGAGGTTCCCAAGAGGGCCCCAAGAAGGCCCAAGGGGGGCCCAAAACGGCCGCAGAGAGCGCCAAGAGGGGCCGAAGAGGGCCCCAAGAGGCTCCCCAAAAAGTTCTTGGGCCATGTGAGGCCAACATGCCCCCAAGAGTACCCCCAAGACGGCCTGAGAAGGCAAGCAACATTGATGTTCCTATTGGCTGTCATTCTTTTTGGGGGGCCCAGATCGGCTGAGGACGGCTCTGAGGGCCTCCGCGATTGCCCCCAGACGGCCCAGGAGGTTCCCAAGAGGGCCCCAAGAAGGCCCAGGGGGGCCCCGTGGCGGCTGAAGAGGAAGAGGGCCCCAAGGCGGCCACGTAGAGGGCCCCAAGAGAGCCCTCAGTGTGCCGTGGGAGGCACAAGAGGCCGAAGAGGGCCCCGAGAGGGCCCCAGACGAGCCACGCCCCCCAGGATGCCTAGGAGGGCCCCGAGAACGCCACATCATGGCCGCAAGACACCCGGACACGCCCCCAGAGAACCCCCACCTCAGAACGGCCCAATGATTGACGCAGATTCGGCGCCAAGGTTCCCAAATGCACCAGGTGTCGGTAACGTAAATATCTTTGAACGCCAAGGGCCCCAATAGAGAGCAGCGGCGCAGAAATCTCTTAGTGCCAAGGCTCCTCAGAGCAAACGGTGACGTAGACAGCTTTCATGGCCAATCCTCCCAAGAGCGAGCGGTGACGTTAACAGCTCTTAACTACAAGTTTCCAAAGGGCGAATGGTGACGTAAACAACCCTTCACACCAAGTCGCCCAAATCGAATGGCGACGGAACAAGCTCTTAACGCGAAGGATCTCAAGAGCGAATGATGACGTGAAACAGTTCTTCGCTCCAATGTTCCCAAGAGCGAGCGGTGACGCGACAAAACTTAACGCCAAGGCTTCCACGAGCGAACGGTGTCATGAGCCTTCTCGGGCAAGTGCCTGCAGCGCTCTTTCCGTTCCCGTGCCGGCCCACTTGCTAACACGCCCATTCCGTGCAGGCACGGTGGCGGATTTTGCCCCAACTGCCTGACTTCGACTCATGCAGACCACTATTTTGATTCAAAGTCGGTGGGTGCGCATTCCCATCAACCAATACAGACGCGCTTCTGAGGCGAGTTGTCATGAGAAGGGGGGCGGAGGGAGTTCGCGGGGTATTTGCAGGGGTTAGCAGGACATGGGTTTGCAGGGCCATTGCAGGATTCCGCCATATCCTGGGCTTTGGCTATCGTTGCTAGAGACGCCTCCGCCTCACCTCCTCTTCCCTTCTTCTGCCTCTAGTCTCCCTCTTCTCGCTCTCGCTTGCGCTAGCCCGTGCCCGTTCGCACCCCTCCGTGCCCATGCTCGTGCCCAGTCGTGTCGCACCCCCTGTGCTTGCAGCACTCCATTTCCACTCGGACCTGCTTGCTCTCGCCGCGCTGTCGCGGTCTCTCATTCTCTCTCTCTCTCTCTCTCTTTCTCTCTTTCTCTCTCTCTTTCCTTCTCTCTCACGCATCCATGCCCTCCGCACATGTTGTTCTCACACTCAGACCCACTATTCGCTCAGATTTCCTCATGCTGCTCTCCCTCACCCCCCACCCCCACCCGTACTCGCGCATGCTCACCGCGTGCTGGGCAGGGCCCGCACTCGGCACTCGGGCTTCGGGGGGGTGGGGGCAGCGACCAGAGGTTTCGCACTGGCCCGTCCGGGTCCACATTGGCCTGGCCTTTTGAATAGCAAGTTGTCTTGTAGGCTTGGGGTGGGAACTTGCCTCTCTTCTGAGCTTCTTCGCCACTGCGTGCTACCCTGTGTTGCACCCGCGCTTCATAGATCACGGGCCCGTTCGGATCCAAATTGGTGGGGCCTCTTCTGGGGGGACGCCCGGATGGGGGCGCTGAACGTGTCTCCCCTCAGAGCCTCATGCTCACAGCGGGCTAGCAGGGATTGCACTGGGGCCTGCCATGAGGGGAGACCACAAGGAGTACTGCACGGGCACGTCTTCAAATGTTCATGACCGCTGCGTGCTCGCAAGAGTCGCGCCTGGGCCTGGGGCGACGTGGGGGTATGTAACGGGCCCGTTCGGGTCGAAGTTGGTAGGACCTCTCGTCGTCGTCGCCGTGATCGTTGGTCCATGATCGAGGATCTATGATTTTGGATGTGTTAGGGCTTCTTCGGGCCTGGTTCAGGAGGATTTCGAAGGTTTCTGGTGATTCTGAGGGTCCCTTGTTAAGATTTCGACTGAGTTACACGGGGTGGAGGGTGAAGGTTGAGAGGGGGGGGGGGATGGGGAGGAGGACAGTTGGGAAGGAACAGCAAGGAGGAGGGGGAGAACGGGGAGGAGGGGACGATGGGGCAGGGAGATGAACTAGAGGTGTAGGCGTGGGAGGAAGAGGATGAGGGCGATATCAGCAGGAGAACAAGCAGGAGGAGGAGAAGGAGGAGGAGGAGGAGGAGCTTGCGCATGAGTCGTCGTGCAGATTGCTCGATGGCCCCGTCGCCTTGCGTTCTTGCTTACAGGTGGAGTTCTTTGTAAGGGTCCACTTGTCGCCACGGCTGGACGCGGCTCGAGAAACTTGCCAGGACGGCGCTTGGCCGGGGTGTGGAGCGGGAGCCCTCTTCCTAGCGGTTTTTACCTCGTCGCGCCTGGGTGCGTCGCGCGCGAGTGAATCGCACCTCGCGGCCGACCAGCACGGGCAGACATGCAAGTCTGCAAGTCTGCAAGCTGACGGGCATGGGAGGAACACTGCTGGGACGCCCCAGACGCTACGGAGACCTTGGTGCGTGGTGTAAATTCTACGCGCTTCGCGCTGACGCTCCAATCCTAGGTACTGTTCAAATCCTCCGCGTGTAGCCAAGAGAAGTTTTACATGATGGGCATCAATGGCTTTATCTTGCTGCACCTTCTTGTCTCTGTCAAAGGTGGCCCGAAGGCTTGAAACATACATCTAGCATCTAGTTTGTTGGGGCTCGAAGTTGCTACAAGAAGCTGGCATCGCAATGGGATGGTAGGAGGAGGAAGAACAATAGCCAGGCGATTCGTGCATCGATCAGTAGTTGTTCAAATACTTATTGTAACTATGTAACTCTGTTGCTGCTGCTCTCCATATCTATTATTCTGGCAAGGGGCAAATTAATCAATGATTCATTCATTATGTTCCCATATTGTCATCGTGTCTGCGAATATGCCTGTGTTGTACAGGACTGGCATGTCCAGATCCACCACTTGTGATTCAAACTTTGCCGTACCACCCTTGACTTCGATGTCATTGATTCATCCGGATTGCAGAGGGCATTGCGCTCGCGATGCGGTCATCTGCACATGTTGGTTGCATTGTATTCACCGGGAAATTGGGGACACATGATGCGGTCAGCCTGGAACAGATGGATGCACACGTGGCCTGATGTTTTTCCTGCGCTCTGCCCTTACATGGCTGAGTATTCGGGGCCTCCACATGTGTGTCCAGCACGTGGCCTCTGGATGTTCCACACGTGAACCTAGCCATGTGCGTGTTCCAGCTTCCTGGTACAAGCAGGCTAGAATGATGCATCAGTGGGTTATCACCCCTCAGGGCGCATGGCCCTTGCGGACTACTTATCGGACTCGCGCAAGATTCGCAGTCAGAGCTCTATGCTTGACCTGGTTGATGTTCACCTCATGAAGTCCAGGGAGGAAGTGGTCTTCTATAGCCAGAGCTCGAAGAGCAGGATCAAGTCGCTGCGGAAGGCACCGCGAAGACGGCACCGTCGTCCCTCTCGAGGATGTCAGTTCGGGAAGGGATCGTCAGCACCTCTGCCCGAGAAATACCAAGCTCTGGCATCGCCGTGTTGGAATCAGGACTGTCAGGGTTCTTGTGTCTAAACTTGTTGCGGGTGCGGGTGCGGGTGCCAGACGCATTGTTCACGCGCACGAAGGGGCTGGACGTGTAGAGTTAAAGGAAACTGCTGGAGTCGCACTGGTTCCGAGCCTTCAGGGGCGATGACGGCCTCTTTCTTCATCGCTGCCCACGGTCTTGATTCCATTGCGCTGTCTCCCTGGCACCGGCCACACCTCCCAACTCGGAGTGCTGCGCTTGACCCGGCCCCGGCCACAACCTCTGGCTCAGAATGGCGCTCTGGCCCCTGGCTCTGGCGTGATAGCCCTGAAGCGTTCTCAGGAGGACCTCCCAGGAGTTGTTTCCTTGGGCGCGCAGAGAGGGGCGGAGGAGTACAGACGGGAACAGACTTCGGCCGCTGCCGATGACGACGTCACGACGGTGGTGAAGTGCCTTTTTGAACCTATCTAGAGCAGGCTTGGCCCTATCCCTAACATCGACAGGACCAAGGCGATGACAATCTGAGGGACTTGCCATCAGAAACTGATGGAGCCATCAAGAACGGCGCGGATAATACGATGCCGACCATGGAGATGTGGGTATGTCTCAGGCTTGCTTGATCCTGGGCTTAATCCAGCCTCATGCGGCTGTTTGGTCGGCCCTTCAATCAGACTTACTAGCCCTTGACCGTTCTTGCGAAGGCCTCCCATGAGTTGGTTCCTGACGTGTTCTGCTCCTGCGACGGCTGCCGACCCGTCTGTCTCTGCTCCTGTTCTTTCACCGCCGCTCGCCCTCCTGGGGGCAGAACCGCTTGCCGTGGCCGCCGCCGCCGCCGTCCGAAAAAGCGACGAACGCCGCCGACGCCGATGCCCTCCAAGCCTATCCCCCTCGCCCTCTGGTCGTCCGTCTTTCTCTGCTCCTGTTCTTTCACCGCCGCTCGCCCTCCTGGGGGCAGAACCGCTTGCTGTGGCCGCCGCCGCCGCCGTCCGACAAAAGCGACGAGCGCCGCCGACGCCGATGCCCTCCAAGCCCGTCCCCCTCAGCCCTTTGGTCGTCCTGCTTCTGCGTTACTTCTCGCGCATTGCTCGAAGCCCTTTCGCCGGGGACCCCCCCCGCCCCCTCCAGGCATGCAAACTTGCCAGAATCTTGCTCCTCGGGCTTGGTAATTCAGTGCTCGCTCTTGCGAAGACCTCCTGGGAGCTGCTGCCTAGCATCTTGTCTGCTCCTCTGGGCAGAGCTGCTCGCTCTGGTAACTGTCGCCGCCGTTTGAGAGCGACGACGCCGCCGACGCCGACGACCTCCAAGTCTTTCCCCCCCACGTCCCTCGGCGCGGGCGGGTGGGCGCGGCCGGGATTCGGGTCGGAGTGAGGGGGGGGTTCAGCACAGGGATGGCAAGCGAATCAGCTCACGCAGCTGGTTTTCCCAGCGCCGGAGGCGCCAATGTATCGAGGAGAGCGCCTGGCGGCAGAGCCGACATCGGCTGCATGCAGCAGATTTCGTAACCCCCATTTTCCCTACAGTCGAGTTTGATTAGTAGGTCGACCCAGCTATCAATGGTGCCCGTGTGTCCTGTGCTTCGCGACCCCTGCCCTCCACATTTCTATGGTCATGTGGCCCGTGGCCCCCGGAAGGCTCTTTGTACCCTCTCGCGTGTCCTCTCCAATCGAGCTCGATTGTATCCCCCCCTTCCTCCTCTGGCCATCCTGCGCCTGCGCTACCTCTCTCTCCCTCTCGCCCCCTCTCCCTCTCCTTCTCCCGCGCTGCTCAAAGCCCTACCCCTTCCGCCTCCCCCGCGCGCCCGCACGCCGAGCAGGGGCACGGCGGGGGCGCATCGGCCCCCCCATCGTCCACTCCTCGCCGATGGGGGGCCCGCTGGCCCACCCCACCCAGAGGAAAGCGCGCGGTGTCGCCCTCGGGGGGGGCCCACCGCCGATCTGTCGGCGATGCCTCGCCGCTCCCAGGTCGATGCTCCCGCCCCCCCCCCCCTGCAGCCGGCCCCCCCCCCGCCCCCCAACACGCTGCCCTGTCACCCCCGCGCGCCCGCACCGGCGAGCGGCCATGGGCAAGACCTCGGCGGCCGCGCCGCCGGGCAAGCGGCGGGCGCCGGCGGGGTCGACGCGCTCGGCCGCCGCGCCAGCGAAGCCGGCGAAGACCCCGGCCGCGGCGGCGAAGCGGCGCGCGCAGGGCGAGGCCGACGGCGACGACGACGCCGGCGTCGCCGTGGTCGCTGCGGCCGTCGTCGCCGTGGTCGTCGCCGTGGTCGCCGCCGTCGGCGCCGTCGTCGCCGTGGTCGTCGTCATGGTCAGCGCCTTCGTCGTCGCCGTCGTCGCCTTCCCCATCATCGTCGTCATCGTCGTCGTCGTCTGCCGTCTCCTCCCTTCTGCCTCCTTTTGTTCTTCCTCATGCTCCTCCAAATGATCCTTTTCCTTCTCCCTATCGCCGCCGCCGTTCGTCGTTGTCGTCGTCTTTATCGTCTTCGTCGTTCGTCTTCTTTGTCGTCGCCGTCGTCCTCGTCGCCGTCGTCGTCGTCGCCGTCGTCGTCGTCGTCGCCGTTGTCGCCTTCGTCGCCGTCGTCGTCGTCGTCGTCGTCGTCGTCGTCGTCGTCGTCGTCCGCCTCCTCATCGTCTTCCTCCCCCTCCCCCCTGCATCCTCCTTCTCCTCCTTTCCACCCGTCTCCCCCTCCTTCCTCCCCGCGGCCTCGGCACTCGTCCACCTTTGAGGCGAGTGGCCACCAGGGCCAGGCGTGTGAGGCCGATCCGAGTCCGCCACCGAGCACACGCGTCAAGCGGAGCCAGCCTCGAGCCATCTTCGGGCCCTCCTCCCCGAGAGGGTCCCTCACGAGGGAGGGAGGAGGCCGAGCTTCTGCTGGCACGCCTGCAGCTCGGCTTCTCTGACGGGCCCGTCGGGCCAGCAGTTGAGTTCCGCGCAGGTTTCTTAGGTCGGCGCTGGGACCCCCTGCTGGCGCCTCCGGCGCCGCCCCTTGCGCGCTCCGCGTCTCAAGGAGGGGGGGTCTCGGTGCCCATCCGAGGAGCCCCTGCGGACCTTTCAAATTTAGAGGAGGAGGAGGAGGAGGAGGAGGAGGAGGAGGAGGAGGAGTTTCTTGCTCTTCCAGTCTGGCCAGCTCGAGTCCTCCGAATCCGAAGCGCACGCCTCCCCAAGAGGTGCCCAGGCAAGCGGCCGTCATCCCAAGAGCAGCATGAAGGCCCGCCCCCGACTTTCCCTGCCAATCCCTGCAGCCCAGCTCCTCAAGGAAGGAGGGGCGACGTAGGGAAGAAAGCCAGCGTAAGAGGAGAGCGGATGTAACCTCCAGGTTTCGGTTAGGGTCGGGTCGGCCTAACCCTAGCCTCCCTCATTAGCATGCGATGGTCCCCAAGAGGTGCCCAAGAGGAGGCCGAGCTCCTGCCAGCACGCCTGCAACTCGGAGGGGGAGGCTGGCGGCAGACCCGGCGCCGCGTCCTCTCAGCGCGCGGTCGCCAGCATCATCCAGCGCGCCACGGCCGTTGGGCCGCCACGGCCGCCCCCGATTCAGTCAAAGCCCCCCGTGAAGGTGCCATCTGCCCCTGTGCCTCTCGAGGAAGTCAGCTCCCTGAGCCTCTTCTGCCCCCCTCCCTCCCCCTCCTCCCTCCCTCCACGCCCCTCCTCCATCCCTTGTCCTCCATGGGCTCCTTCCTTCCCTCCTCCCTGGGCCCCCCCTTCCTCTCCTCATCCCTCCTCCCGCCCATCCTCCGCGGCCCTCCCTCCCCCATCACACTCCTCCCTCCCTCCTCCCTACAGCCCCCCCGCCCCCCTGGCACTGGGGGCGGTGACGCGACCAGGGACCTCCGGGGCCGGGCGAGACAGATGGCCTATTGCTGTATGGGCTCTGACCTCCAAGTCTGCACACTGGAACATGTGACATGTTCCAGTGTTGCAAGACCTCGGTTGCAGGCAACGGCTCGCCTATCGCAGGTTGGCTGGAGTGCTGCTCCAGGTGTGTTGGAGTCTTCCTCAGCTTCCCCCCTCCCTTCCTCCCTCTTCCTCCTCTTCTCCCTCTTCCCTTCTGGATTGCGCTGTGCGTTTTTGGTTTATATCAGAGGTCGTCTGGGCCGCAGGGGTTATCCGCACAGCGCCCTTGCGCCTCCTCCTCCCCCTTCCTCCTCTGTTGTTCCTTTTTCTCGGTCTCTCCACTCTTGACACAGATGGCTGACTCTTCAAATGTGTTTAGTAAGTCTCGGCGCCTTCACAAGTTGGAAGATGCGCAATTTGTTTCGCGGACTTCCGCAGCCGAATCTCTGTTCAGAATCTGTCAGTGCAGATGCCTTGGCGGGAAAAAAAAAATGTCTGGCTGTACAGGGCCACCCGCGTGTGCCTCACGGGGTCCCAGCCGCGTGAGCGTTCCAGCTTACCGGTGTCCTCTACACGTAATTGGTGGCCCTTCGCTAGAGTGACCTCTGGTCGCTGGTGCGGCCTAACTGGGGTCCCCCGATGGCTAAATACGATGCGATGACAGCAGTTTGTGCGCCTGGGGTTGACCTCCCCGCACCCCCCCCCACAGCTGCGCACCGAAGGTCGCTCTTGTACAGAATCGCTCTTGCGTGTAGCCGATTGGTGGGGCCGCTCAACGACCATGGAACCAGCACTACCAGTGCCCCATCACTCGCGAGCTCGCCATCGACCCGGTCGTTGCCGAGGACGGGCACATCTACGAGCGCCAGGCCCTGGAGCGCTGGCTTCAGTCCAAGAAGAAGAGCCCCGTGACCAACAAGCCCATGGGGATTCGGCGCCTCCTGCTCGTCCTCTTCCACCTCTTTTCCCCGCCCTCCGCCTCCCTACTCCGCGCCCCGTCCCCTTTCCCCTCCTTTGCCTCATCCTCCTACTCCTCCTTTCCCCCGCTGTGCCATTCCCCTTTCCCCGCCTGGTCTTCTTCCTCCTCATCGTCGTACGCTTCTTCCGCCTTCTTTCTCTCCTACTCCTTTTGGGGTCAACCTCCTCATTCTTCCCTTCCTCCTCCTCCTGCTTCTCCTTCTCCTCCTCCTCCTCCTCCTCCTCCTCCTCCTCCTCCTCCTCCTCGGCTTGTCCCCAACGTGTCTGCGCGCCAGACCATCGAGGACCTGCTCGAGGGTGGGGCTGGGGAGGAGGAGGAGGAGGAGGAAGAGGAGGAGGAGGAAGAGGAGGAAGAGGAAGGAGGCAGGATGGATGACGGAGGCAATATAGAGAAGGGAATAGCGACGCTAACCAGGAGGAGGAGAAGGAGGAGGAGGAGAGGAACGAGGAGGAGGAGGAAGAGGAGGAGGAGGAGGAGGAGCAGGAGGAGGGTGAGGACCACTTGCCCTCGTGGCCAAACGCTCGTTGCCAACCCCTTTCAACGACTCCAGCGTGCACCTCCCCGAGAAGCACGCTGCTCCTCTTCCCTTCATCTTCCCGCTCTCAGCACAGTCGACTCTTACGTCGACCGTGCTGCTTCCTCTTCAACACCTTCACATCAGTCATCTTTCACGTCGTGTCCGTGGCCAGCTCGCCCCCACGGCGGGCGCAGGAGCCGCGCGGAGGCGGCCCAGAGCGGCGCCGAGAGCGGCACCTCGTGTCCCCGTGGCCTGGCCATCGCGAGGTGGCTCCAGCTCAGAGGCGACGATAGGGGCGAATAGCCCAGGTGGGCTTTTTCCTGTACGTGCATCCAGGGGCGCCAGTGATCCATGTCTTCGGCGAGGCTCCTGGGCGAATGCGCGTAATACCCGCCCCTGGACTACTCGCCCCCGTCGTCGCCTCCGACAGGCCTGATGTTTTCGTCGTCGGGCAAGCTCTTTGGGGTTGTCAAGGGACCTCGGTGGGCTTCGTCGAGGCCCCAGACCCCACTAGGCTCTGAGTTGGGCTCTCGCGTGGACGGGCTTGTACACCGAAGGCTCCTCTTACTGCTATCCTGATTGTGCCAACGTAGTCCGCTTAATGAATACTGGCGTGGCGGATTCAAGATCGGCCAAGAGACAGTGCGCTGGCCTAGTGACCTTGGCCCGCCACCATTTCAACCAGAATGTCTGGTTCTTCTCCAATGTTGCAGCCCGCCGTGATATCGACAAGGGGGGTCTCAGCGCGCGCGAGAGAGTTCTGCACACAGGGAACCACTGCGCCGACATCGCAGCTAAGGAGGCTTTTGATGTCCACCCTGTTTGGTCACCTACTGAAGAAGAGGATCTCCAGAGGAAATTAGAGATTGCCCGTCGTGTCCTCCATTCTGGAGCAAAGCTCCTCCCACATTGGCCGAAGCTTGAGTTTCGAGGTACGGAGCTTGCCCCACCGCCGCCGCCCTCGGTCATGACTGGGCCCAGCAAAGCTCCTCCTGGTCCTGGCGTTGTGGGGTCTATCTCCGTGGGTTTCGGGCGAAGACCAGGCCGATTGGAGGTCCCTGTCTTGGGCAGAGCCGCCTCGACCAGGGAGTGCTGGAGTCCTTGGGTCACCGGGTCACTTTGCGTGACATGCGAATTTTAGAGCAGTGGAGGTCAAGTTAGGGGCCTAGGGAGTAACTGCTCCCCTCCGACAGTGGCGGGCGAAACTATGTTGCACCGTCTCTGCAAAAAGCCAGCTCCCCGATAAGGAGTGTGTCACAGTTGGCATTGATGAATTCATCCCTCCGCTATAGTTCATAGGTTCTGGATGTATTGCCGCAGTCGTTCACCACCTGTGACACCTGCTGCAATGCGCTGTGATCATAGGCATGAGCGTAGCTGTTAAAAAAAAGAAGAGGAGGACGGAAGAGGGAGGAGGTTGGAGGTTGGAGGGGCGCCGCCTGAAATGTACAAGACCGTTGTTGTGTGCACTGCTACTGGCATCTCTTCCAACGGCGATTTCGAGATGTATATTCTATCGAGCCGCCCAGTTGGAAGTTCATGGAGTACACGGGGATCCCGAAAATATCTTCCCCTGATGTCTTGCAGGATGTTCGGTGGTTGGCCAAATTGGATGTAGGATGGAAATGGAACGCGCAGTCCTTACGGCCTTCCATGAGTCGATCATTGCGGCCATCACTGGTGGCGACATACGGCTTTCGGCCGGGGTTTGACTGCAGCGATGTAGTTTCTATTATACGTCATTGTGTGTTTCTTGCAAGCAGGTGGGGCTTGAACTTGATAGTGGGGTCTCAAGATATTGAAACTGCGTTCGACATGATGGAGTACGACAGCATGTTCCAAGCTATGCTCGGGCGCGGACTTCTACACGACTTGGCAGCAGCACTCATGCGGGAGGTCTCTGGCATGAGCTGCACGATGGAGTTGCCGGGTGCGTTGCCGTGCGAGGAGTTCGAGTTGGAACGAGGGGGGAAGCAAGGAGGAGGAGGAGAAACCCCAACAGTTTTCAACATGATGATCGAATGGGCACTCTCGAACGCGCAGGCCTGGTGGACGGCGGAAGGCTGATAATGTTGTATCGATGACCTACATATTATTCATCTAATTTGCGCAGACATCATAGACTTGTTAGCTAGATCCGCAGATGAATTTGCAAGCATGGTCCAGGATATTTCTGGCGCGCTGGCTGCAATAGGTTTTCGATGGAAGACCTCGTCTCTAATGTGCATGGCGCGCGGTGCTCTGCGCAACACCTTGTTTGCCAGCGCTGCGGCTGGATCAGCGGATCTTCAGCAGTACGCTGTCGTGGATGCGAAGGAGGTCCTGGGCACGATGATCAATGACAGCGGCGACACTACAGCTAGCTTGGAACACCGACTCAGCAAGGCACATGGCAACTATTGGTGCATCGCAGCGGCCTGCCGAGGAAAAGGCTCCATTGCGGCCAAGCTCAAGGCGTGGTCTTCTGGGCCCTCGGCGAGTGCAGCTCATGGATCTTCTACTTGGCATTTGGCCCAGAATGTGCTGTGACGAGTACGCCGATGCGAGTTCGCTTTCCTACGTAAGATGTCTGGGCTCCGACGGAAGCCGGGGGAGGGGCCCCCGATGTTCATTACCCGCACGGCTCGCCTATTGGAGGGATGGTTCAGGACCGTGAGGACAAGACCCTTACATATTCGTATTCTCCGCGAGGTCTTTTAAGGGGCTTGGGGGGAAAAACCGATAATCCTTTTTCATGGCGACGTCAATTGCTCGCCTGCGGTGCGACAGATTAGGAGCCGCCTATGGTGGGGGACGGCCAAACAGATGCTCAGCGAGAAGCGGAGGAGGAGGGAGGGTATAGTACATGCTGTATCTGGCGATCGTGTCGAATGGGAGGATGTGTTTGTTCTCGCTTATGGGGAGCAGTGGCGTTCCACGCGGAACGACTGTAAGACTCAGACTGGATGGACGGCCCTCTACCCAGCATTTGAGAAGCTCATTTGCGAAACATGTGGCTTGTTCACAGCCGTGAAGCCGAAGCCAGATACGACGCATTTGGACAAGTTGGTTGTGAAACGGAGGAGGTTGGCGACGCACGACATCGGGATGCTTATGAAACGCGGCGAGACGGCGCCAGAGACCACGTGGGAGAGCGTGTCGGCAGATTTTCTATCATCGTTGATTGTCAGCCTCTCGCTGCTATGGTGAATGGGCCGGCTTCCCTTGCCAACCCAAGTCTGGAGCCAGTATTTGGTCGTATCGCCTAGAATGTGTTCGCCATGCTCGACCGCGGTTGGAAGCCATCCCGGGACATCGACGACGCGATCGTTTGGCCGCCGAGGGGGTTCAACAAAATTGTCGACTTCCTGGTGAATTGCACGATATACGAACGGAGATCGTGCGCGAACGTCTTCACCGAGAGTGCTGCCATCTCTCCGGAGGCGAATTTTCTAGTGCACACTGACGGGGGCACTCGTGAGGGCCAGTGTTCCGCGGCCGGATGGTGCAGCGAAGCGGTGCATGCCCGCGGCCAGAAAATGGTACGCAGCCTTGTCTTAGTCGCTGGATCTTTTGTTTGTGATCCTGTCTCTTCGTTCCTTGCTGAAGCCATTGCCTTGGACGAAGCCGTCCAGGCGTTGGGTGATCTAGTGTCATTCCGTGTGCGGCCGTTGCATCAGTGACATAGGCTCTGGGGAAAGAAGAGGGAGGGAGGGAGGGAGAGGGGAAGGGAGCAGGAGGAGGAGGAGGAGGAGGAGGAGGAGAAGGAAAAGGGGGGAGGAGGAGGAGGAGGAGGAGGAGGAGGAGGAGGAGGAGGAGGAGGAATAGGAGTAGACGAGGAGGAAAAGAGCAGCAGGAGGAAGAGGAGGATGAGCCGGAGGAGGGGGGATGAAGAGGAAGGGGAGCAGCATCAGCAACACGCAGACGACGAATGATGAGTGACGGGGAAGATGGAGGAGGAGGAGGAACAGGAGGAGGAGGAGTAGGCGGAGGAGGAGGAGGAGGACGACGATGTAGGAGGACAAGACAAGACACACTTGCGATCCACTGACCTGCTACTCCTTTCAAGCAACAAAAAAAAGAAGTGGCGCCTGGAACTTGCAGTCGACCTATTCTGGATCTGTGTACGCTTCTATGAGCGTCTGTCTAGATCGCTCTGCTGGGGGACACCACTGGCTCAATCCGAGAGCCTCCATTCGGGGGGCACCTGGAGGCCTCGGCTGAGCACCGCACCGCAGCTGAACGGATGGCAAGCGAGTCGAGAGATCACTTGCCTGCATCATGATATGGAAATATGAAGTGCACAACCAAAGATCAACATGCATGCGCACGCACTACACAATGTGAAGGTGCCGAGTGCGAGACAATTGAACCAACGGAGATGAGCTCAGAACAGAAAATGACCTCCGCGCCCGAAGGCCACCCAGTCCTGCCTTACGGCTGGGGATTGGAGATCCTGTCATCATCGCCCA